TGTACTGATAGCAGAAAGTATTGCAATAAGTTTGGCTTTGTATGATAATGGCTAGAGTTAGATTTTTGCTAAGTATATATAGATAATTATTATTTTGGATTTGGACCCAGCCGATTCTCATAGTACAATATTCTGTAGTGATATCTTTAACTGAGCCATCTGTATAAAATGTAAGTTATGAGTGGATTAAGTTGTTTTTTGCAATTTGTGATAGTGATTGTGAAGATTGATTATCATTAAAAATTTTAAAAATTGCATTGTCTTGATGTTTAATAGTAGGTTGTGTTGATATAGTAGTTGGATTACGTAATGCAAGAGAATAGATTAGGTCTAGCAAGTTGGCATGAAGGTTTAGTGTAATTCTATTTTCTATATGTTTTGGTCTTTCCAAAAACTTGGTTGATGAATTAGCAAGAATATTAAATGTACATTTGTTCTGAATCTGATTTGAATTCAATGTGCATCCTGTGCATAGTTGAGTTTGATAAGTTGATGCTAGATATAGGTTAATATATGAATCATCAAATATAATATTTCAGTATATAATAAATATTTCATCGCTACTTGGGTAATATTTTCTGGCTTTCTCTATGATAATAATATTGTCCTTGTATGTAATTAGCCAAGATTTAGATTTGGCTTTGTAATGTCTGGTATTAAAAGATATTGAGTTAATTATAGATAAATTTAGATCTGGGTTGATTTGTCTAGTTACTTGATTGTTAGTTATTTTGTTTTTAAGAACTGCAAACCAAAGGGTTTGCGTTCTTTTGGAATTTGTTGTATTCGTGATGAGATGTGTATCCAGTTTAATATAGTGGAGTTGTCAAATGAAGTTAGTTATTCTAAGTAAATAATGTTTTTTGTGGGTAGTTGTTTTTTGAATTGTAAGTATAGATTGTGTGAATTGAGAAATTTTTCAATGTGTATATATGGGTACTAAAGTGTATATAGTTGGAGATAGTCAGAGTATGTATTGATAGATAATTGGAGTAAGTTGAATAGCTGTATTATTTTAAAGGTAGTTGTATTTTTATTAGGACCATCTATTAGTGAACAGAGATATTGAAGAATATTAGTTGTAGACCAAAGATTGTTTTGTAATTGTTGCAGCCAGATATAAGTACTCAAACCCATAAGGCCTGATTATTTAAGCAGAGTAGAAGGTTTGTAGTGTGATGTTGTAGTTGAATATTCTATATATTTTTAATACCATAGATATTATAGTTAAATAGGATGCTATTAGGAGTGGTTGTGGATAGTTTGGCTTTGTGTTTGGTAGTGGTGAGGTATTGTGAGAGAATAAAGTTACATGTGGTTTGAGGAAGTACAATATTATATATTCGATATTCCAAGATAGGAATTATAACATTATTAATAATATATACAGCTTGTTTGTCAGTTATGTTTTTTGTTTTGAGTATATTATTAAGACCAAGTATTTCTTATTGAATAAGTTTGATTTGTGTAGCATATTTAAGTGTAGCTGTAAACTAGCATCCTAGGAATTTAAATGGGGTGTGCTGAGGTTGTGTTTGAATGAAGTAGTTTATAAAGTTAATGTTTGGAGTTTAATGAGTATTTGATATTAATATTGATTTTTGTGGATTAACTTTGATATGTGCCATTGTGTAAAATAAAGATGCTGCTTGTGTAATTTGTTATAATTGTTCAAGTGATTTGGCAAGCCAAAGTGTGTCATCCATATATGCAAGTACAGAAGTAAATGTTGATATTTCCTGTACTTTGTAGGGTTGAGCTGTGTAATCTACTCAACTGTAGATGAGTATCCAGTATATAATTTATTGATATAAGTAATTAAAAGGTCGTAGTATATATGCCAAAGAAGAGGTGTTATTGTTTCTCCTTGGTTGATTCCATCTTGTACATTATAGGAGGGTATTAATCCATAGTTGGTTTATATGATTTTGCAACAAGTTGATAATAATTTGTACAAGTTGTGTAGACATGTTTAGACATTGCAAAGCTTTGTTAAAGAGGTTTATATTAACTGAATCATAGGCTTTATTCATGTCCTGTGATAGGATCTATATCTGTTTTTTAATGCATTTGGCATTTTCTAGAAAGTTGTTGAGTATGTGTATTAGATTGTTAGTAAAGTTGCTAGGAAGTGCAACATAGTTATAAGGATTAAGGATTGGATGTAAGGTAAAGACTTTAGTCAAATGGTTGGTAAGGATTTTAGTGTAAAGTTTTTTGATATGTTCTATAAGACTAATAGGACGAGTGTTATTAAGATTGCTGTCGAAGTGGATTTTTTTGATATAGGATAAATTCTACAGTTTTTCCATTGTTTAGGTATGTTTTGTGTTATAAGACATCAATTGAGCAATTTAGTAATTGCAATTAATATATTAGATCCTATATGTTTGATTATTTCATAACTAATTCCAGATGGCTCACAGGCTTTATTGTTTGGTAGTTGTTGTATAGTTTGGATTACTTCTTCTGTACTGATTTCTTCAAGTATAAAATTGTACTATATAGGATTAATAGAGGAGATGAGTTCATATTCTGTGTGTCAGTATTAATTAAAGATTGTTTCATTATAAGGTAAGTGGGCTATCCATTTGTTAAAGTGGTTTGTAATGTGTTTTTTGATATTTACTAGATCTGTAATGATGCCAGTATCTGTTTTGATGTTTTGAAAGTGTACAGTATCTTTGTGTCTATTAAGTATACTGTTTATCATTTTGGTTGGTTGTAAAAGTAGTTGATCACATCTTTTGTCTATTGCATTATTGATATGCTTGTGTAGTATTGTGCATTTTCTAGATTTCTGGCATTATATATTGGTTTCTAATATATTTTTGTTTATTGTATCCATGTTGTAAGTTTTGTTTTTGGGTAGATGAAAGGTTGATAGAAAAATCATGTGTAGTATTAATATGATCAATTAAATTTAAGATGTTATTAGATAGGTTGATATTGTGAAAGAAGACTCTCTTTGTATAGTATATAATGTTGCTAATAGTTTTAAGGTCTTTATGGAGTTGTGTTGCTTTAGATGTAAAAATGTGAAATAGGTTCTTTATTGTGTATTTCTTGTTAGAAATGTGTTGTATTGCAGCATTAATAATACAAATGTATATTTTATACTATGTTTTCTCTAAACTTTTATTTGTATTAGTAGGCAGTGGTACCTGATGTCGAATCATATTAGAGTTAATTTGGTTGGTAAAGTTTTTTTATTGTTCTTTAGACATTTGTTTATATTCATATATTTTGTGTTTACATTTGGACTTATGATTAGTTTGTGATAAGGCAAAGAGAAATATCCAATTAAATATTAGAATATGGTGATTGCTGTAGATTGAGGATAATGGGTTGTCAAGTTTAAAAGAGTATAGATAGAGTATAAGGGTGTCATTGGTTCAAATGTAATCAATTTTACTTTGGTATCTGGTACTATGCCAAGTATTTTGTAAATTATTAGTATGGTCTGCCAGGTCATACATGTTAGTATTATGTAGATAGTTGATAAGTTGGAATTTGGTTGCAGATAAGGTAGTGATGTTGTTGTTAACATTAAAATCACCTAGAATAATGGGTTGTAAGTTGTTGGTTAAGGCTTGTTATATCTATATAATGACTGTATCTTGTGTTGACTTCTGATCAGCATTGTTAGTTGAAGAGAGATATACAAAGATAATTCTGAGTTTGTAGTGCTTGAAAAATAGGTCAATTGATATTGCTTCTCCTGGGTGGGTAAGAATTTTGTATATATAGAGTTGAATATAATTATGAAGCATTATACATGTTCCCTCTTTGGATGTGTCTGAGTTAGCCTAATAATATCTGAATTGTTGATTATTGAAGAATTTTGTAGATATAGTATTAGCTATTTTGGTTTCTGTTAAGCTAATAATGTGTAGGTTGTTGGTGAAGCAGTAGTCTTCCCAAAGTAGTCACTTTTCTTGTGTATTGTACTCTTGAATATCATAAGTTGCAATGTTGAGTTTGAATGCAGATTCATATATATTATTGAGTTCAGATTCATTATCAAGAGATAGAGGGAGTGCTTCTTGTATATCATATTCCTGATAAGAATTGTCATATAAAGAAGTTAATTGTTTTGCTAGAGTATCAAGCTGTTGAGATGGTGTAATTATAGACTGAGATGATAGTTCACCATTAGATTTATTAGGTTGAGTTAAGACTGAGGGTGTATCATTAGTGATTGGAGATATAGAAGACTCTGGTGAGTATGGAGGAGTTGGAAATGGAGTAAGCAGATTATTAGCTAAAAAGTTGTCGAAATTATTCATAGAAAATCTCTTATTAGTATCAGATCTAAGAGATAAGTTATAAAATAAGCTAAAACTAAATTGTTCAATTATTGTGTGATTAGATATAGTCTCCTCATTTAGGAGATAGATATATGTTTTCTTTATAGTATTATTAAAAGAGATAATGATATTATCTTTAAATTTAAGTTGTTGAAGTATTTGTAGGAAAGATCCTAAGGTTTGAGAGGTTGATAATAGGAGAAGGTGGTAATAAGATAAAAATCTATTATAGCAGGGTTTAGATTCTATTGTTCTGAACCCTCCTGCTAAAAATAGGATTCTTATTAAGATAAGTTTTGCTCTTGGAATGAAGGCTCATCTGAAGAAGGCTTATCTAAAGAAGGCTCATCTGAAGAAGGCTCCTCTGCAGAAGAAGGTGGTGAAGAGAAAAAGAGGTTGTCATCTATTCAAAGGGTTGGAAATCTATATTGAATTTTTGTTGAAGAAACTGTTCAGCTGCAGGAAGTGCAGTCTCTGAATAAAATTTGGTAATGTCGAATATTGATGATGGGTTGTTATCTTTAGAGTTCTTAATAAGATCGAAATATGTGATGATCTGGACCAGAAAGTCAAATTTAATTAGTTTGTTAGTTAAAAAGTTGAGTGTCTCATATTTATCTTTTTTGTCAATTTTATGGTTTTGAATAGCGATATTATGATATAGTAAGAGGTATTTATAGAAGTATAAACTTCTTTGTTTCTTGTTAAATGATACTTGATTGTCAGCGCAAGTTTTTTCTTCAGCTTTAGTAGCAAGTTGGTCCAAAGTAGTAGTAGAGATTAGTTTTTTAAAAGAGGCTTTATATCTAGCACTGATATGGAAGATAGAAGCATCAATTTTTGGTTCGACCCATAAAGGTTTCTCTTCTGATTCAGATTTTGAATAGGTCTCATAATAGTGTTCAAGTGTATCTTGATATAGTTATTCTTTATTATGTAGGTAGTTTTTATTAAGGTCACGGTAAGAACATTTATGGTCCTTGCATAAAAGAGTATGGAAGTTGGTAAATCTGGTAGCATGAAATTTTTTATTATGTACCGAAGAGGGTTTAGGAAAGTTAAGCTTCTTAGGCATATAGCAGATTAAGTATAAAATAAATAATTGGCGTATCTGGCTTTAAATATTAAGTAAAGTTTCTTTTTTATCAGAGGGATTGGTAAATTGCTTATAGTAGATAGAGAAATATTTGTCAAACCATTTGTTTAGGATAGGTAAATTGCTTATAGTAGGTAGGGAAATGTTTGTCAAACCATTTGTTTAGAATATCTTTAGAATTAAAGAGAGATAGAATATTGTATTGTTTAAGAAAAAAGAGTTTTGGGTAGATTGAATACTACTCTGATATTATGTCTAGAGTCTGAAGAGATTGTAAGATATGGTCCCTCAGAATCATAGGATCTAGTTTCAGCGGTAATATGAAACTTCTTTGAAGCAAAGTTAAAGTCTTCAGCAAACTTGATAAAGTTAATAGTTTGGTATTTGTCAATAAGATAGAGATGAAGACGGGCGATATTAAAACAGACTAGTAGTCTCTGTTGTTGAGTATATAGAGGAAATGTTAATGTTGACTCAAGGATTTTACTATAGTTCATTTTGGTAAATAGTATAGTTGTAAATTTTAGAAGCAGGTTTTTGAATGTAGATTCCAGATATTGAAAAGGAATAGGTGCATTTTTTTAATATTAGAGTTAGCTTTATATATAAGTTTAGTAAGAAATTGTGGTCTTTCGGCTGCCATAACACGAATAATGGATATTCTATAGAATAGGTGGGCAAACTCCACAAACTCTGCAACTTCGCTATTAAAAAATTAATGATTACTAATCATTAGCGAAGCTTATTTCTTATATTGCCCATCTATTCTATAGAATATCTCGAATAATATATTGAAAAGAGGCTTTAAGAGGTTTTTTGTTTTTGGTAGCAGGTTTAATTTCTTTCCAGAATAGAAATTATATAGGTGTTTTTTTATAAAGAAGAGAATCTGTTTAGGTAAATCATTGAGTTTTGTGTATTTTGCCATATCTTCTGTAATAGAGTAGTTCTTGAACCAATCTAAACCTTGATTAGCTTTGTTGTTTGATTTTTCTTCATTATATTGACAGAGCTCTTTAAGTCATTGTTCAGATTTAGCTTCTTCTTCTTGTATTTTCTTGTACTTGTTCATAGATATGAATCGAATATTGTCGAATAGGTTAATAGTAGTGTTGTCATCTTGGGTTGTATTAGTCTTATTGGTTTCAGCTTGTTTTCCTTTTTCTTTGTCTGTTAGTTGTTGTTGATCATTAGCATTGTTTTCTTTTAATAAGTTAGTATGTTGGTTTGGTGGTTGTTGATATTGTTGAGATTGTTGTTCGAATAAAAGTTGTTGCTGTTTGTACTGTTGTTGTTGATTGTCAATATCCATATTATTATTAGAAGTTATATTAGTATCCTCTGATAAAGTGAGGGGACCAAGTGTAGATTTAAGGAGGTTAGAGAGCTGTTGTTTAGATGTATGTTTAGGTGATTGTTGAGGTTCTTGTAGACATTCTTTATGATAGACTTGACTGTTAAGGAAGAAAGCGTATTCTGGAAGTTGGTAATTGCCATTAACCGATTTGCAGTTAATTGGTACCCAGCATTTTTGGCAGGTGTGGGTATGAGAGAAAGATGAGAGTGAGGCTTGGATGGTTAATGAGGTTGAGGCTAGAGCTTGAATAATTTTTTTGAACATAGCTTGGTTAGTATTTTTCTTTTTTTGGTATTTAGATATAGTGGGAGTCATAAAAGTAGAGGTGTGATAAGTATTGGTTTCTGAGGCAAAGTGAGTATGATAGTTGTGACAGAGACATTGGATTGTTGCAGTTGCTACTGGTGCTTTAAAGAAGTGAATAGCTTTGAGGATTCTAGTATTTGTTATAATGCAAGACTTTGGTTCGAATCTAATAAGAATAGCTTTAATATCTTCAAGATTATTTTCGTAGACAGCAATATCCCAGCGATTTGCATAATTTTTGAAGTAGGCATCAAGGTCAATAATGTCATGAGTTTGAATAATAGTAGTAGGCATCTTGTTGTTAAATTTTGCTTAAAAGCACAAAATAGATTGACTTAGTAAAATTTCTAGATATATTAACAAGAAAACTTGTAATATTGCAATGATAACAGAATATTATAGCAAGGGTAGGTATAGACGGGGTTATTGTGTTATGGCTGCAGCTGATGTAGCTTGTGTAACTTCATATAACTTCATGTAATCCAAATTAGTATAGGTGATATGAGAGTGTGGCTAGTGTGACTAGTATAACAGAAAAGTTATAGTACTAAATAGTGTATTGAAGTACGAATATTATATAAAAATAGTAATAGATAACAGATGATAACAATAGCTTTGTATTAATAATTAAGTTGCTATTTTTGAGGGTTGTCTAAAGCCTTGTACCTTTATATGGGAGGAAGTCAGTAGAAATAGGACAAATTTTTTCTAAGTAAAAGTTTTCTTAACTTTAAATTTAAATATCTTGTCAACTATCT